GGGGGGGGACTGCTGCCTACTGGATCTGTTTCCCCTACAGAATTTGCCTTTATCCTGTCTGGAACCGGGTGGCGTCACCAGCCCTTCCTCCCATGGTGGGGGCTGTTAACAAAGGTGTGTGTGTGTTTACCTTTGATTCCATCTGCCAAAGTAGTGTTGGTGCAGGCCCCTCTTCTGCCCCTGGGGATACGGGGTGGGGCTGTTACCTTAAAGGGGGGCCCCTGAATTTCTGAAGTAAAAAAAGGAGCTCCTCTCTAGGAAGAAGCAGCCCCCTCCCCACCAATGTTCCCTCTAAGCTGTGGAGTCTTGTGAGCGAAAATTCTACTTTGTGAGCGACTGGCATTAAAGTTGTGAGCGAGCCATTTGGCTACTGCATAAGTTAGTTTGCTCTGGAGTCATCTTTCCTGAGCTGAGACAAAAACGTGTGAGCCAGAGGCTAAAAAACTGTGAGCCAGCTCACAATAACTCAGCTTAGAGGGAACACTGCCCCCCACACACAAAGTCCTCCTTTCTTCTATCAGGCAGCAGCCCCCACACAGGGTGTTGTGTCCACGGACCGCCACCAGTCCCCAGCTTGGTTCCTAACACAATAGGGGCCAAGGATCCTAGGCCACCTTTAGTCCTCCAGTAGGACCCTTGGCAGGAGATTGAAACCCCCCAATAGGACTGTCGGTGTGGCTGGGATGGCTGTATATAGTCTGCCCTTGCTGGGCCGTTGGGTGTCTTTTGCGTGTGCTACAATAAACGTGATTTGTTCAGCATGCCGTAGTCTGCCTCTCCATGCATAGAACCCAGTACTTTTCACAGTGCCTACAGGAGAAATGGGGGAGGGGACTGCCCCACCCCCTTCCTTTCACCCCCCCTTTCTCTAGTTGTGGGGTTTCCACAGCCCCCCCTCCAGAAAACAGCCTCCAAACTGCAGGATATGGGAACTGTGTTTTTTTAGATTCTCTTCTCTCCTGTGGGGGGGACCTCCCACCCCACCCAGTGGTGCCCACCAGGACAGCCAATGTGCCTTTTGTCCTCCCCCTCTGGGGCAAAGGGGAGGCACATTTGCACCACTCCCCTACCCCCCATATCTGCTCTAACTGGCATCCAGTGTGTGGAGGGGGATCCTGAATTCTGTGAAGCGCAAAGGGGAGGGGGGAGCTCCTCCCCCTTCCTCCAGCCCTGGGGAGGGACAGGGGAGGGGAAGGGAGATGCTCCGGCCGGCCCCTCCCCGCTGCCACTCACCTCCCCGGCTCTGGTTGTAGCGTTGCCTCGCAGTCTCCAAGCTAGCTCTGAAGGCAGGCTCTGCCCGCTGCGCTCGCTGGCTCTGCCCTTCCCAGTACTGGGGGTCCTCCTTCCCAAATTCTTCCATCCAGGGGGCTTGAGGGAGCATCTTCCTGCCATCGCTGTCATACTTCACAAAGGGCTGGTCGTCCACGTAGCCCACAATGATCAACTGGGGCAGCCCCTGGCCGGGCTCAGACAGCCCCGTGTGGAAGTAGCGCAGGGAGTGGCGGGAGGAGGAGGAGGCGCCTGGAGGGGGGGAGAGACAAAGAGAAATGGGGGGGGCAGAGTTAAGGGGGCTGCCAGTGAGGAAGGGCACCCCCCTGACCCCCCACCCGCCCACCCCTGTTCAGAGTCCCAGGGCAAGTGGTGGTGGTGGGGAGATGAAAGAGGAGAGGGAAACAAAAAGGGGGCCGAAGGACCCTGAGGAAGGGGGAGAGGGGATTTGAGCTCCAGAGGAGAGACAGGAGAGGAAAAGAGAAGTGGAGGGAACAACAAAGACAGAGGAAGACCTGCAGCCGAGGGTCATCAGTTTCCAGGCGGGACCCGGACATCTCCCAGAAGCAACACTCCTCTCCAGACTTCAGAGATATCCATTCCCCTGGAGAAAATGGCTCCTGGGGAGGGCGGGGTCTACAGTCTTATACCACCCCCTGAGCTCCTCCCCCAGCTCCACCCCCTCAAACCTCCAGGAACTGCCCAAAGCCCTAAAATGGTGGCATCGGGATTCATTCTCAAATAAAAACAACCTGCTTCACTCACACATGAGCCCTGACGTGATTTTTTAACCTCTCCCAGAAAGATCTCAAAGGGGGGGGGGGGGTTTAATGTCATTAGAATCGGGAAATTCCCTTAACAGGACGTCCAGGCAGAATTAAGTGTCTGGCCATGCGCAGAGAGGGCCCCCATAAGCAGGGAGGGGGCATATCTGAGGGGCCTAAAAGGTAACCCTCAATATTACTACTATCATTCTTATTTATAGTCCGCCTCTGTAAGGGCCTAGAGGCAGACTACAAGTGTGAGCAAATGCAGGGAGAACCAGACAGGGACCCACGCAAGCAAAAATACGTCTTGAAAGGCAACATGACAATCAGTATGGAAAAGCCTTTCCCCCTCATAAAAATCCCCTCCTGAGCTGGACATAAGAACATAAGAGATGCCAATGTTGGATCAGGCCAAAGGCCCATCCAGTCCAACACTCTGTGTCACACAGTGGCCAGAAACACCAGGTGCCATCAGGAGGTCCACCAGTGGGGCCAGGACACTAGAAGCCCTCCCACTGTGGACCCCGCCCAGCACCAAGCAGACATATCATCACTTGCCCCAGAGCCCCTATCTATACCTTGTGGCTCATAGCTACTGATGGACCTCTGCTCCATATGCTTATCTAATTCCCTTTTGAAGCCGTCTATGCTTGTAGCCGCCACGCACTCAACTGTCCAGGTCAGGAAAATAAAAGGGAAAATATCACACACATAAATTACCACTATTTCGTAATTAAGTAGGACGGGGGTCCCCCAAACTTGTTCAGCCTGAGGGCACTTCAGGAATTCTGACACAGCCACAAAATGGCTGCTGCATGAGGCAGAGCCAGTCACAAGATGGCTGCCGCAGCTTCCCTTCAGTCCCACAGGGAAGATCCTTGGGCTGTGGTGGCAGCTGCTGCCAAAGCAATGTTTTTTAAAAACTCTGTGCAGCCAATCAAGTCTCCAACGGACAATCCGAAGCCTTGCTGGACAAAAGCCCCACCCACTTTCTTAATAGGCACCATGTTGGGGGGGGGGGGCTGAAGGAGAAAGGATGAAAGGGCAGGAGTGCCACAGGCCTTGGCCAATCCCTGGTTTGGGGGAATCTCTGCATTGGCTGGCTCCTGCCCCTCCCCCACAGTCAACTGCCTCTTGCTCTGAGGCGCCGGAAGCTTCTTTTGCAGCCTGGCCAAGAGACACGCAGCCCAAAGAAAGGGAGGCTCAATGGGGCCTAGCAAGGCAGGGCTGAGGCCTTGGCTCTCCATCCCAAAAGGGAGTCCCTTCACCGCTTGCCTTCTGTTTGCATGCCCCCTTCTTTCTTCACTTCTGGGCCTTTGGAAATAGGTTCTGGGGTTCTCCCGTTTGCTGCCTTCCCCCTTGCTTGCCAGTCGCAGCTTGCGAAGCGCCCCAAATTCCCACCCTTAATGGACAAAAGTGGGCTTTCCACACCCTTGGTCTCTCTAGAGAGCACAGGAGGCTTCTAGGTCCTTGACCAGTGTGGGTGGCTCAGGCTCAGAGCCGTCCCCTTATCCTAGGAGCCAGCAATACAGACACCAATTCATTCCACAAAACACACCGGAAGGTGTTTTTCAAGCTTGTGCACAAGTAGCCATAGTGGAGCTCAAAAATGCTTGCATAGTGCGAATTCAGATGGTTAAAAACATAAGAGACGCCAATGTTGGATCAGGCTAAAGGCCCATCCACTCCAACACTCTGTATCACACAGTGGCCAGAAATACCAAGTGCCATCAGGAGGTCCACCAGTGGGCCCAGGACATTAGAAGCCCTCCCACTGTTGACCCCCCCCCCCAAGCACCAAGAAGACAGAGCATCCCTTGCCCCAGAGCCCCTATCTATACCTTGTGGCTAATAGGGCAACGCTGAAGCAGAGGAGCATTCTTCTGAACCTGCTGACTTCAATGGAGTTAAATGGGTACAATTATGCTATGTTTTGTTGGTACAAATGCTCTCCCGTCCCCACCAAGTTTCTATTCATAGAATCATAGAGTTCGAAGGTACCTCCAGGGTCATCTAGTCCAATCCCCTGCAAAATGCAGGAAATTCACAAATACCTCCCCCACACACGCTCGCAGTGACCGCTGTTCCATGCCCAGAAGATGACCAAAAAAATCCCTTTGGGATCCCTGGCCAAACTGGCCTGGAGAAAATTTGCTTCCTGACCCCGAAGTGGCAATCAGCATTTCCATGGGTGTGTCCTTATGAGCCATGGGTGTGTCCTTATGAGCGTATCCTTATGAGCCCTGTTAATGCAGATCAGCCTTGTGTTATTTCAGCTGGCTTCTCTGTGGGGTGCAGATTCTCTGTTCGAGAGATCCCACCTCGCCCGCACAACTGGCCTCTCAAAAAAACTTTTATGGTTCCTGGGAAGACAGACGAAACCAGTTTCAGTCTGTAGTGTGAATCAGCCTGCCTCCATTCCCAGGAAGTGCAAGCAGGCAGCAGAAAAAGCAAGTTCCAGCAACAATCCACAGACTGGTTCCTCACATTTTACACCTTTTGCTGGAAATGAAAGAATGTTAAAGTTGTGTTAATAGGAAATTCAAGCATCTTTCACTGCTTTAAGTATAGATAAAAAGAGAGAGAGTTCAAAAAAGGAAAACCAAAACACAACCATGAACATTGGCTAGGTGAAATACACGTTGCTCCGTTTCACGGGAGATGCAATGTGGAAAGTCTGCAAACAATTCAGGGTACTTTTAGTCCCTCTTTGCTCTCCGTCTCACCCCACCTCCCTAATTTCAAGCCACTGCATTTAAAGAAACTTCTCCTGAATCGCAGAGAAAATAAATAAATTTCCTCAAAGAGTCTACTTCAGACACAGTTGCAGTGACCGGACAATCTGATTTAAAGCCTTGAAGAGACTTCCCAGGTCGGCTGTCCCCTTCAGAAGAATCTTTCTCTCTCTCGCTTTTTCTTCCCTTCTGATTAATGGATCTTTTCTTGTATAGCTGGGGGAAGCAGGCTTCAGAGTGGTTCTGAAGCGAGCCAAGTCACTGACACCCCCCCCGTCCCATATTTTTTTTTAAATCAAAAGCAATTTTTAGAAGAACGTGTGAATGTGAGGTTGTTTCTTCAAAGGACACAAAAGCTGACTGAGTTCTATATACCTCAGCTCTCAATAGTTTGTGGCTTTGCAGCTCCTCTGTGGTCTCTCTCACCAGATCTGCAGCCATTTTGAGCAAAATCAACTACAAACAGAAAGAAGCCGGAAACCACTTCTGACACCAATCCCCTTCAGAAAATAAGCTCCTCTCCTTGCCCAAAAGACACAGGAAGTCACAGTGGCCCACAACAAAAGCCTGTGAACACCTTTCATTTCATTTTTCATGATGTTTCCAATGGCACGGCCTCTGCTCTTTGCATCATGCATCTTTCTCCTCTCACCCTAAAGTAGACACCGTCCACACCCTCTGAAGCCTTGCAAAGCACCCGTCCTACACAGGGTGTTGGCCAAGAACACACAAGATCATGGCCTGAAGCATCTCCCTTACCCCCCCCAATTGTTTTTAATGTCCAAACTGACGAATACCTCTGGTGAGCTTGAAATCTTGCCTGTTGTGTTTCATGGGCTGGTCTGAATAAAATGTTTTAAGCAGCTTCTCTGTGGCCAGGACCTCGAAAGCCACAGAAGTTGTTCCAGGACTTAAGGGTGCAGACTTTCCAATTTCCTGGGGAGGGGGGGGTGCTAGGCCTGGGCTAAAGGCGTTGCTATGCCTCGGTCCTTAAAAGAACGGGGGGGGGGATGACATCACACGGAGGGGCCTCCACTGCCACTATCTATGGAGGCAGGACCTTAGGGGTTTTAGGGAGGGGCTCCCCAGAAATTTTAAAGGGCCTAAAAATGCCCCTGGGCTGGGCCAAACCTAGGAAAAGGTGGGAGTTGGCCAGTAGTTATAGTAGTATATCTCAGTGACCGGCTGTGTCCTGTTTTTGAAATTTACTTTTAGAATAGTCACTTTTAAGATCTGCATAGGACAAACTAATGGCCACAAATTCGACACTGGAAAATGCAACACAGAAAAGCCTACGGGGGAACATTTCTAAACTTTTCCTGGACGTCCATTTACAGGAGTCCTGTGCTTCAGCTGCCACCCATTTGACTGAGTCACTCATCTGAATTTGACAATATTGCCTGGCACTGATCGGCCAGGGGAGGCTCAGCACCTTCCAGCCAAATCAGGGGAGTGCTTGAGCCCCTCAGCACCCCCAAAGTTCATGCCTATGCAGGACCCAACAGGAGGGAATGCAGGAGCATTTTCTCCACCCCACAGCCCTTCAAGAACTCCCTCTGCTCCCCCCACCGCAGCCTGACCTCCCGTTGGAAAAGTCTGGATGCCACAACAGACAGGAATGTGAACAGATTCTTAAAAACACAAAAGGGGAACAAATTTAGTCTGAAATCCTAAGCACCCTTTTGAGGGAGTGAGCCTCGTGGAGCTCAAGGGGGCTTTCTTCCGAGGAAACCTGCTCAGACGACTGCACTGTTCCTGCAGCAGACGCTTCTGCACATTAGAACCCGCCTCAAGAGGTCTGTGTGATCATTCACAAGGACAACAGCAGGACTCCAAAGAGGCGGCACAGAAATACTCTAAAGAAACAAAACTGGGGATAATTCCCTATTTGTGGTTCTCTTGCTTTCCCCCCTCACAACAACCCTTTGTGGTAGGCTGAGCAAAGCGAGAGTGACTGGCCAAAGACCACCCCTTGTGATTCAGGACAGAGCAGGGGCTTGGAAACTGGATCTCCCTGGTCCGAGTCCAACACACTCAGAACCGGGTGTGAGAAGCCCTTCGACTGAGGGAACACAATGAATGGTTCATTCTATTCTTCTCAGTCTGAATGGAGACAAGGGTTTTCTCACCCACCCACAGGGGTTATGTTAGCTAAGTCAGGAAGCCAACAAGGACTGTGGTCGTGAATGTGCTTCTCATATGTGTGTATCTGAGGCCCGGACAGACATCTCAGACCCTCATGCACGGGGGCAACTCCAGGGATTTTTCTGTCTTCAAGTGCCATTGGTCGCTCAGCCCAAAGAGACCACCTTGAACGATGTCCCTGCACGGCCCAAACTCAACCTTCCGGGTGGGTGGGGGTCTTCTCCACCTTTGCGTGGGGGGGGGGACAACGACCCCAAGCCATTCTGAGCCCCTCCATGAGGGGAAGTGTGGCACAGACAAGCCTTAGCAGCTAAATAAAACCCACCCAGAGGTGGGTGGGTGTTCCAAGGGGGTGGAAAGACCCCTCCAGCCGGCTGAAAAGCAGAACTGGCACCTCCCAGTAGGTTCTGACCAATGTTCCCTCTAAGCTGTGAAGTCCTGTGAGCAAAAATTCTACTTTGTGAGCTACTGGCAATAAAGTTGTGAGCAAGTAATTTGGCTGCTGCATAAATTAGTTTGCTCTGGAGCCATCCCTCCTGAGCTAAGATAAAAATGTGTGAGCTGGAGGCTAAAAAAACACTGAACTAGCTCACACTAACTCAGCTTAGAGGGAACACTGGTTCTGACCCAGAAAGCCATTCTGGAAGCCAAAACTAGGGGATCTACTAAAAGGAAGGACAGGATTGCCCATTGGAAACAATGGGAGACGGTGGAAGACCCATTGGAAACAATGGGAGCCATTGTTTCCAATGGGCAATCCTGTCCTTCCTTTTAGTAGATCCCCAAAACTAGCCCCCTCCCCGAACCTTGCACAAGAAAACAAGGATTGCCCAGCAGGATCTGACCATTAGGCGGCCTAATCCAGAATCCCCTTCCCAACACTCAGATGACACAGGGAAGGCCCCCCCCAAACAGTCTAACCCTCCCCCTTTTCCGGCTGCTCCCCAGCATGCTTCAGTCAGAGGCCTTCCAAGGAGGCCCACGCAGCGAGCCCGGCTACCAGCCAGCCACGGAGCCTCATCCACCCCTTCAATGCGATCCGATCCTCTTTTCAATCCCCCGAAGCCAGGGGGCACCATGACCGCTTCTCGTGGCAGGGAGTTCCACAGGTCGGGCAGGCCCTGGCTAAAGGGCGCTGTCCCTGGGACTGGCTCCTATGACCTCCCAACCGCTTCCCCGGGCAGGCTGCCTCCGAGAGTTTTGGTATTTCCAGACAGGGAGAAAAGATTGATCTGTATTTTGATCTGACCCCACCCCACCCCACCCCACCCCACCCCCGGGTCGTTTTCCTCCTAAACAAAATCCTT